AAATTATAAAAAAAAAATGTAACATGAAAATAAAAATTCAATCCGTAAAATTAGAAATTAGAAATTAGGAAAGGGTCTATTTTATAAAACAATGAACACGGTCCTGATCCTCACCACCATTCGAGTGGTTTCAGCATCAACGACAAAAGACAATCAAACTGCAAGATGTCAGACCAAGAGGTGCGTATAATCGGCCAGTAAAATATTATATCTTTAATATTACGTTATTTATATATAAATTACTTTCTTTACAGATGGAAGTGGACTGAAATGATTTAGAAAAGAAAGAAGATAAGATAGAAAGAACAGAAGAAAAGAAAGAAAACAAAGAAGAAGAAAAAGCGAAAAAGGAGGAAAAATAGAAACCGGAGGAAAAACAACAATCGTCGCCGACGTCGCAAGTAAGTAAAAACGTAGATTTTCCTATGTAATAAATGTGGCAGAATTAGATTTTCGTGAAAAGAAATCATTTCTACAATAGTAGCAAATGAATGTACGCGATTATTTTTTGTTTTTTAATAATGTCGCAATTATAGTAAAATTCATTATTATATTTCAGATAAAAAAATTATTAAAAAGAATAGGGGTAAACTGTACTTTACCGGATCCAAAATTTTGGACCTTTTTTTTTGAACCTATAGTTTTTGATGCGTAGAATCTGAAAATGCAAGTCTCAACTTTAGGAATTCAGTGGTTAAAAAGTTATAAGCGTGTAAAGTTTGACATTTTTAGCAGATTTGCTACGTTACTGTGACGCCATATTGCCTGAGATGTATCACTGATTGGTACTCGCGTATCGTAGAACTAAACTTCCGCTTACCTTAATTAAAAACATATAGTTTCCGAATCGCTTCCATCATTGATCCCATGAGGTCTATGTTGGTGTGACGGCAAAACCGTCGCCACAGATATTCGCATAAGCGATCGGCAAATTCCTCATCGTGAAAACGACCCCTCCCCCTCAACCAGTCCTTCGCCGGCCGCCAATTTGACTCTATTTGCTGGGTATAAGTTCTATCACTAGCTGTATTTAAATTATTCATAAAATTGAATTCCCTCTCTCTCTTTAAAAAAATATACACCTAACTAACTCAGACAGTATCAAATTTACCCGCCAAAGTAGTCGGCACCTACATGAATCCGCCTACAGCTAGCGACACCGTTCATTGGACAAGAAGTCAATATGGCGTCACAGTAACGTAACAAATCCGCTAAAAATGTCAAACTTTACATGCTTATAACTTTTTAACCACTGAATTCCTGAAGTTGAGACTTGCACTTTTTGATTCTCCGCATCAGAAACTATAGATTCAAAATAAATAGAGATAAACTATATAGATTCAAAAAAAAAAGTCCAAAATTTTGGGTCCGGTAAAGTAAAGTTCACTCAAGAATAGTGTTTAGAGGGGAGCGAGGGAAGCCGCGTAGAGTCCGTACAGAAAAAAACCACTCGAGGTGGTACACAAAGAAGAGTTGTCAGTTTATTAAAAGTCACGATGCACAGAAATTTGAGGACGGCCGTTACACCTTGCGATGCGATCCGCTCGGTCGAGGGGTACAATTCAAGTGTTTTCGACACGCCACTCGAGGTACACAGAAAACGTTCGCAAAGTTGACGGAGGAGTCACTTAGCTCGCTAGGAGTCCGGTACAATCCGATTCGGTTGCACGAGGAGACCGTTACTACGCCGCGAGCACGTGGCGACGTTGCGAGATCCGAAAACCCCAAGGTTTACCGTAATTCGCGAGGAAACCGATTAGGCGAGGTCACACACTGATCTCGGAGGCGCGAGGTAACACCCGGTATGCTTCTTACACAATAAAAATACAAAGAAATCTCAGAAATTCACAAAATATACGGAGTGCGATGTCAACGTGATCGTTTACCAAAACGCAATACGGCTGCGCGGCACGCGTCGCTCCTTCCCGAAATTTAGTTCGCGAAGAAGAACGCGTGGTGGCAGCACCTCTCGGACGGGCCCCGCGTGACGAGTGTTCACGCAACAAATAGTATATGGCGGTGGCCGTCGCGGTGGAAGAGGAGGGCGAGGCAGAGGCGGCGGCGGCAGAGGACATCGCAATGTAACTGTTCGCGCGTTACGCGCTTCCGAAATACACAACATATTTTTGTAACACGCGGGGAGTTTGGAGGCGTGCGATATCAGTAGCAATCGGCTAAGGCTCGGATGTAGGAACGAGTGCGTTCGTCATGGAAAAAATAGTTCGTAGCGATGCGCTGAGCGGCGGCTTGTGTGCGGCGAATGAAAAAAGAAGGGAACGGTACTGGTACGATAGGGGCGAAGTTCGGGTTCCTGCTGGGCCGCGGCGTTTTTTTGGACAGATACACAGCTGGACGAGGCACTAGCTACCTTCGTAGAGGAGATCTGCCCTACCAATCTCTCTCTGGGATGCACCCAATCAGGCGGCATTTCATTGCCCAAACAGCAACACGCGACGAGGGCTGTGCCCGTTCCTGAGACGTCAGGATCGCGCTGTCTGCACAGGTACGATTTCATGGGGCATCTCCCACGCTATTAAGATCCGAACAGCACTTCACACCGAGCTGGTGGTGTTCCGGAACTCGAGTAGTTAGTAAGAGCGCTCCTTTAAAAATAACATGTATGCTTCCGAATGCGATCACAACCAACTCTAAATTGTATTTGACTTGTAGATTTATATTTTTCCTCCTTGACGGCTTTTTTCTCCACTCACTGAGTGGAGGTTTTTTATGCCCATTAAAATCCTATTTTTCCTTTCCAATTGTGCATTTATTATTCCTTCTCCCAGATTCACATTCCTTCTACCTATCTAGAATTCACCTTAACGGTTGTGTTGGTGACGCCATGCCTGCTGTGAACGTACGCTTGGCAAATCGACGCCGAGCTGCCTCGCCTTGAAGGTAACTGCGGGTTCGGCTCAGCCAACTTTTATTTATTAAATTTGCGACGACAGCCGCGGATCGGCGTCGCGCATCGCGGGCCCCCACCGCGGCGGCATCCCTACTCCCGAGCAATTAGAGTATAAGTAGGACCGATCGATGCGCGGATCGATGAGTTGCCTCGGGGCTTCGGCTCCGAGGGGACCTCCTCGGAGGTCCGGACCAGTGTTGCCAGAACCGTGGGACGTGGGACAAATCTTTACCCTCTCCACGACGTCCCACGACGTCCCAGTGACTCCCCTACCGCAGTTGTTTCATCTAACACAAGCGCGTTGTTCCACGTGTCCGTGTGAGCTCTCTGCGGGTTTGGCAGAGTTCGGCTGCTCTCGTCATTTCTACGTTATCAGCTCGATGCTCAAGCCGCTAAAGCACGAGGCAGCAGCATCGACGAATCGACAAAATAATATAATTTCGTGCATGGCAATATGGCTGAATTAAGAAACCAGGAGAATCAGTTCGAATCCCGAATTTACGGTTTCAGTTCTGATTCTTAATACATTAACGTTTTTCTAATACATAAAAATACATTTTTGATACATTAATACTATGAAATACATTAACTTGGAAAGCAGTTAAAAAAAGGAGTTGAACTGCATCTTTCTTTGATATTTTTTTTAATATTTAAGTTTTATATATATACATATGTATGTACGTACATATGATAAAAGTACGTGATACAGAAGTAATTTCTTCAATTAGATATTACTGTTATTCTAACTATTACAATACGTAAATTCGAAGACATACGAGGAAAATTGGTTAGGTTAAATTGTAAGGATATAAAGAAATTTCAATCTTTAACGGTTTGTCAGTTTTATTTCTTATTCCTTACAACTATTATAATTTTATTCTCTGAATGGTCATTACAATGAGAGATGGATTAGATACAATTTGATTCCTCATTTAATTTGTTATATACATATCAGGTTTCTTGCAACTGTTGCACCTGGTCCACGCTTACACGATATTGCATATTTTACTTTCCTATAATACAACAAGGAAACAAAATTATTATATAATGATTACCATAATACAATAGAAAATGTTAAGCTTGGTATAAACCTTCTTTTTTTTGTGTACTTAATCTGCAGTTACGCTTCGTTGCTTTATAATGACTGATTTTTCTTTTGAATGAAACTTCCACTAGCGTATTGATGAAATTTTTCGATTAAAACAAGATCGAACACGACGTAATTTGAATTATAGTTACTTTATATATTTGCATTAGGTTTTAAATAAATAAGTAAATATAATGCAAATTATGTCGTGTTTGGTCTTATTTTGATCAGAAGAACCTTCCAATTACATTGGTAAAAGTTTCATTTAGCAAAAATGAAAAATAAAAAAGTTATGGTTAAATTAATATTGTCTCACTCAAATGTTTTTTCTCGGGCCCTTTAATTCTCGGACCTCCTTCTCTTTCGCTATTTGTCTTTTTCTACGTTCGCCAGCATTCAAGAACTCGCTCGAGCTGTGTCGTTCTGCCAGCCTCGCACACTTTTAGGAGAATCGGGAAAATCCAGCATAATAACACGTTCTATGCTGAAAGAATATACTAACTTATCTGTTTAATAAAATTTTAATAAATCTGGCAATAGATTTATTTTCTGACTGCTTTTCTTAAGGGCAGAGACTCCTTCGAGGCCTCCTCCGAATCGATGTAAGCGCCATTGGAAAGAATCGGGCAATCGTGGAAACACATAATTGAGAAATTCGACATTTGACGGTGCGACATCTAACGTCATTATACAGAATAAGAAACGAAAGTGAGGTGGCGTAGTTGTCGAATCACATCATTTTAGAGATTCCTTCGCGGTGTTGCCACATCTGTGACAATCCTGACCATCTAGCAAAATGAATTCGCTCGAGCCGAGCGAGATTTTGATTCCAGGCGGACATAGAAAAGGACAGCGCGATAGAAACAGAAGGAGCATCATGAATGAAACAACGTAGGGCCGATCGGCGGAAATGTTTATGTTCAAGTCACACACTACGACAGATTCGATGAGACTCTGTAATATACATAACATACGCGACTATAAAACTTATACGAATAAAAAGTACATGGCATTAATAATTTCAGAAAAGGAATGAACAGTAAAGACATGTAAATTGATCAACATATACAATATTTATTCATTGAAATGTAATCAATGAATATAAACAATGATTGGCCACTCGTCACCCGCCGTCCGCTTCGGCCTCTTCCTTCTCCGCGGCGTCTGCATCATCGGAAATTGTTTTTATCTGAAATACAATAATGAATGTTTTATAAGAAGAAAAAACAATCGTAGGAATTCAGTGGCTACTGTTGTAGACATAATTTCCATTTCACGAAAAATCTAATTCCGCCACATTTATTACATAGAAGAATCAACGCTTTTACTTACTTGCGACGTTGACGGCCTCAGATTCTCCTTTCTCTTCCCTCTTATCCGACTTCGTTCCTTAGACCTCTTTCTCCTGTTTCTTCTATCCTCTTTCTTTTTCATTTCCTCCTTCTTTTCTTCCTTTTCTTCCTTGTCCATCTGTGAAGAAAATAATTTATGTATAGATAACGTAATATTAATTATGTAAGATTATACTTGCCGATTATACATGATTAGGCAGCATATTTGCAGTCCATTTGTCCTGGTAACGCTGTCTTCAATATACCTATATATAATTTTTTAATTTTTTTCGAGAAGAGGAAAATGCTGTGTTTAATTTCTCAACGATAAAAATGTTCATGCAAAGATGAACGAAGATGAATGAAGATAAATATTGCAAAAAGGAAAAGTTAATGGAAAAAGATGATTAAATAAATTCATTGTAACGTTTTTTGTCGGATTTTGCTCAAATTTAGATATGTTGTATTTTTTACTGATATATAAACGTATCTCGAATAAGTCGAAGGTACTTTGGAATATTTTGTATAATTATAGGAATGAAAACTACAGGACATGAATAATTTGAAGAATGGAATAAGAAAAAAATTATTTCAGTCGAAAAAATAAGTTTTGAGTTCTACACTCGCTTCCATCCAAAAAACCTCTTCTCGGGAATCCTTTCTTCGAAAATCTGTAACAAATTTTTTAAACAAAACAAAGAAATATAGTATGGCGTCGCGTAACTCACGAGATCGTATGATCCGCGAGTACAATTGCTATTTCGTGCAATTGTGAACCACCAACAGAGTCAGTGGTACTGCACTTTGCAGTGCAGTGCGACGCCGGACAGTAACAGTATTTTTTATTACTGTCCGCATAAGACCTTTTTTGAATTTTCATAGGTCACTATTTTAAAATGTGTATACCGGCGTCGAACAACTCACGAGATCGTATGATCCGCGAGTACAATTGCTATTTCGTGCAATTGTGAACCACCAACAGAGTCAGTGGTACTGCACTTTACAGTACAGTGCGACGCCGGACAGTAGTAATATTCCTGCTACTTTCTGAGAGAGACCTTTTGCGCTTTTCTAAGCTTGCTCTCTCCTCTGTTATAAATTGAGGCTCCCGAATGGGCATTCCCCTATTGTACCGGCTATCTATTAATTCCGGTAACATGCACAATAAATAAAATTGAATTAATTTTGGCTCCATATTCTTTTGCCAAAAGTTATCGTCTCTATTGACTCTAATGTACTTTAACCCTTTTCGGGTCCAAATACAAAATAAGCAATATTTTCTACCTGTGATATGTAATTGTCCTTGTACTTGGTAGTAATAGTAGTGGTTCCTGTTCAATGCATTTCCTTCTGCGTCTGCAAATATACGCCGAATAACTGCATCGCTGTTATGTCGAGGGTATGTTCATCGCTGCAAGGAACTCTTCCATTTGGGCATAACTGCCTCCATTCACAATTGTTCCAGCAACGGCACACTGGTTTGTTTCCATGTGATTGCTTTCGTCAGGTTCACTGTGGATTTCACCTGTATATTTGCACATATCGCATATTACACTGAGAGTGGTCCTCAGACCCGACCGTTTCATGCCGGTTATTTTCAGGTGTCTAATTCCACAGTCTTCCCTGTTTTTAGCATGGTCACCTATTTTTTGAAATTCGGCAAAGATGTGCTGCATGTCCACGATACTCAAGCCACTGGGTAGACAGAATTGTTCTTCAGGCTCGTTCGTTACAGTTTTCTCTATGATCAATTCTTCATTTTCGGAAGTTGTTCCTTCTATATTTAATCCATCTTCTGTATTGTCCGTTTCTTCAATTTCAAACAATTCTTCCGTCGTTTCTTCTAACATTTCTGTACAATTTGTCGGTTCTGTTTCTTCATCCAATGGCAAGTAAATTTTCTCGGGAGTGTATGTTTGTCCATCGGATGTTGACGGCTCGGAAATATTCTGAAGGGCTAAACGCCGTCTTCTTTCGCGACATGCTCTTTTTTTTGAATATCTTTTCGTACTAATTGGTAATTTTGGCCGACGACTTTTATTTTTTATTAAACACTGATCTTCATACTGATTTCTTATATCTTCAACCATGACAATATTTTCACTATCACTCATTGTCACTATCCCACAACAATATTCACCTCTCACTTCACTTCACACTTTCAAAGCTTTGAAATAAATTCTATGATGTAATCTATTCCTTGCTTCGAATGCAACTATCGTGAAAACTGTCGCGAAGACGTAAAACACAGTACCGAGAAACAGAGGGTACCGCGGTGGGGAGTGTTTCTAAGGACTACGAAAAAAAAAGAACAATGACGTCGATATTTATTATAAAAAAAAAGTTTTGAGGTTGGATTCATTTATAAGATTATAATTTCAGATTGTAAGGAAAAAATATAACATGAAAATAAAAATTCAATCTGTAAAATTAGAAATTAGAAAAGGGTCTATGTTATAAGTCAGTGACCACGGTCCTGATCCCCACCACCATGCCATGCGAGTGCTTTCAGCATCCATGACAAAAGACAGTCGAGCTTCAACATGGCTGAAGACAAGGTGCGTATAATCGGCAAGCAGAATGTTTCATAATATTACGTTCTTTACACAGATATTACTTTCATTACAGATGGATGTAGATAAACAAATCGAAGAAAAGAAAGAAGAAAGAGAAAAGAAAGTAGAAGTTGAGGAGAAAGAAGCAGAAAACAAACAAGAGAACACAAAGAAGGAAGAAGTGCCGAAGCGACAGGAGGAACAATTATCGGCATCAAAAGTAAGTAAAAACGTAATTTTTCTATGTAATACATGTCGCACAATTACATTCACGTGAAACGGAAATCATTTCTACAATAGTAGCAAATGAATTTCCACGATTATTTTTTGTTTTTTAATAATGTCACAATTGTAATAAAATTTATTATATTTCAGATTAAAAAAATGGTAAAAAAAATGATATATGGAGGACGCCGTGGCGGCCGCCACGGAGGAAGAGGTGGGCGATGGGGCGGCCGTCGTGGCGGGAGAGGAGGACGCCGGGGCGGCGGAAGAGGCGGCAATCGCCCTGTGATTTTTAATATTTTTTAATAAATATTTTATATTTTTCATTATTTAATTTATTGCTATAATAAACAATGTAAATTATTACATATCTGCTTATTTCTTTTTCCCTTTGTACCGAATCTTCGGCGAATGTTCGCGATGAACCCGCGGGCGAGAATATTCGCGAAAGTCAAAAGCGATGTTCCGTGCGACAAAACACAGTCCGTCTCGCCAAGCCATCGGTATCGTCAGCTTGTTTTCTCACTCGCACTTGCACGCATTACGCCGTCCGCGCGATCAGCTGTCACCGGCGAACATCGGCCGCTGATTCTTTGTTCTGTATTTATAGACGCGTTTGGGGTTGGTATAACTGTAATGTATAAGTGTACTGTAAGAGTTAGTCAATAAATTAGTTTCAAGTGAAACTGTTGACATTATTAATGTCCTGTAGTTTTCATTATACGTTATGTGTATTATTTCGTTCTTGCTGTCTCTCTTTCGTTCGCGCTGTTCTTTTGTATGCCCGGCAGGAATCAAAATCTCGTCAGTAAATGATAGATACATAAATAGGAATACAAACAGCACATTTATATCGCCTTCTATGTCTTTTCGCATATAGAATATGCTAAATATTAAAAAATGTACAAGTTGTATAATTCATTTATCTGGCATATCTCTGTAATTTCATTGATAAAAAAAGATGATTATACATATGAATAAAAAAGATTTATGGTTGCACACATTAATATATGTATTGTTTTATTCTCGGACTTCTTTCTCGGCTCGAGCCGATTCATTGTGTTGATGGTTACAATTGTAACAGGTGTGAACAGCGTGACAGAAGTCTAATACGTTGCGGCAACTATGCCTTACTTGTGGCTATATTTACGTAGCCGTTTGTGATGGTAAATTAGAATTTACATTTATCGACTGATTTCTGCTTTTATCGACCCTGATGATAACGTGGTCAAATATACCATCAATGCCTCTGACGGAAAATCAGTGAACTATTCTTCCGTCTATTTGACGTCTGATGCGTGCAAATCGTAAATTTCGTTTTACGTCTTCCAGAAGTGATAAATTGTGAAAAGTCGAATTTCAGTGACATTGTGCTAGTTCAAGGAAGGGTGGTCTGGTGTGCTATGGGTGAAAAAACCGTTAAATCGTCCAATATTTGCTAAAATGCAGCCGAACGCAGCATTCGGCAGCCATGTTGTTTGCCTACAACATCGTCTGTCTCAATCTTACAGTGTCGAAAATATCATTTTTCTCAACGTATGGTGTTTATTAGCGTTCAAACGGACCAGACCACCCTGTGGTGAAGTCCACCCGTGGGTGCTGTACCCGCGAAAATTTCATTTGTGCAATTATCGAGACGAAAAACGAAATCTACGAAATCGAGTGTCTCTCTCACGCATGGCATATACATGCATGCTTTCCGTTGATTGTGTGAGCGCACGCATACAGGTCATGGCAGAAGGAGTCTGTGCCCTTAAGTAATCAGAATTTCACCATTCTCCTGTACAGATCGTGTGTAGCAGTTTGTAGCAAACTCAACATGTTTTCGATATTATGTCTAATATACAACCGATCGAAAAATATTAAAAATCCAGGATATTTTGTGCCGTTTTTTATATGTCAAGGGCCATCGAATTGAAATAAATAACCAACAATGAATAGTATAATAAAGGTGATCGCTGTTCATCTATTTCCTTTCTACGATGTACAGGATTGCCTCGAAATAAGCAAGTGGTCTCTGCTTCGAAATAAGCAACTGTTAGGTCTCGAGCCACTTGCTTATTTCGAGGCAATCCTTCGAATTGAAATAAATGACCAACAATGAATAGTATAATAAAGGTGATCGCTGTTCATCTATTTCCTTTCTACGATGTACAGGATTGCCTCGAAATAAGCAAGTGGCTCGAGACCTAACAGTTGCTTATTTCGAAGCAGAGACCACTTGCTTATTTCGAGGCAATCCTGTACATCGTAGAAAGGAAATAGATGAACAGCGATCACCTTTATTATACTATTCATTGTTGGTCATTTATTTCAATTCGATGGCCCTTGACATATAAAAAACGGCACAAAATATCCTGGATTTTTAATATTTTTCGATCGGTTGTATATTAGACATAATATCGAAAACATGTTGAGTTTGCTACAAACTGCTACACACGATCTGTACAGGAGAATGGTGAAATTCTGATTACTTAAGAAAAGCAGTCAGAAAATAAATCTATTGCCAGATTTATTAAAATTTTATTAAACAGATAAGTTAGTATATTCTTTCAGCATAGAACGTGTTATTATGCTGGATTTTCCCGATTCTCCTAAAAGTGTGCGAGGCTGGCAGAACGACACAGCTCGAGCGAGTTCTTGAATGCTGGCGAACGTAGAAAAAGACAAATAGCGAAAGAGAAGGAGGTCCGAGAATTAAAGGGCCCGAGAAAAAACATTTGAGTGAGACAATATTAATTTAACCATAACTTTTTTATTTTTCATTTTTGCTAAATGAAACTTTTACCAATGTAATTGGAAGGTTCTTCTGATCAAAATAAGACCAAACACGACATAATTTGCATTATATTTACTTATTTATTTAAAACCTAATGCAAATATATAAAGTAACTATAATTCAAATTACGTCGTGTTCGATCTTGTTTTAATCGAAAAATTTCATCAATACGCTAGTGGAAGTTTCATTCAAAAGAAAAATCAGTCATTATAAAGCAACGAAGCGTAACTGCAGATTAAGTACACAAAAAAAAGAAGGTTTATACCAAGCTTAACATTTTCTATTGTATTATGGTAATCATTATATAATAATTTTGTTTCCTTGTTGTATTATAGGAAAGTAAAATATGCAATATCGTGTAAGCGTGGACCAGGTGCAACAGTTGCAAGAAACCTGATATGTATATAACAAATTAAATGAGGAATCAAATTGTATCTAATCCATCTCTCATTGTAATGACCATTCAGAGAATAAAATTATAATAGTTGTAAGGAATAAGAAATAAAACTGACAAACCGTTAAAGATTGAAATTTCTTTATATCCTTACAATTTAACCTAACCAATTTTCCTCGTATGTCTTCGAATTTACGTATTGTAATAGTTAGAATAACAGTAATATCTAATTGAAGAAATTACTTCTGTATCACGTACTTTTATCATATGTACGTACATACATATGTATATATATAAAACTTAAATATTAAAAAAAATATCAAAGAAAGATGCAGTTCAACTCCTTTTTTTAACTGCTTTCCAAGTTAATGTATTTCATAGTATTAATGTATCAAAAATGTATTTTTATGTATTAGAAAAACGTTAATGTATTAAGAATCAGAACTGAAACCGTAAATTCGGGATTCGAACTGATTCTCCTGGTTTCTTAATTCAGCCATATTGCCATGCACGAAATTATATTATTTTGTCGATTCGTCGATGCTGCTGCCTCGTGCTTTAGCGGCTTGAGCATCGAGCCGATAACGTAGAAATGACGAGAGCAGCCGAACTCTGCCAAACCCGCAGAGAGCTCACACGGACACGTGGGACAACGCGCTTGTGTTAGATGAAACAACTGCGGTAGGGGAGTCACTGGGACGTCGTGGGACGTCGTGGAGAGGGTAAAGATTTGTCCCACGTCCCACGGTTCTGGCAACACTGGTCCGGACCGGAGCACCAGAGCTCTCGACGCCATGGCTGACCTGGCGAAGAGATCTCTGGCCAACGGGCCGTAGCATCGCACTACGCTACGACCTGGCAGCTCCCATAGGTCCAGCGGCCGTAGGCGCCTAGCCTCGTCAGTCCCGTGGTTGACCCGGGGTGACCAAGCTAGTGCGCGTTCATAATCTCTGCTGGTGCTTCCGCGGGGATTCCGAACGCTAGCTTACTCGGCACCGCAATTTGCCTTTGGCAGCCGATTTCGTTCAGCTTTGTGGCGCTACCCAGGCTGGCCAGGATTGGTCGTCGACTCGTTCGCTGTTCGGTTCTACCTCGGCGTACGAGAAGACGAGCCGCGTGAGGCAAGCGGGCAGCAACTCCACCACAGCGCGATTGAATAAACACCGTCGGCCCAACCGGGCCAATTCTATCCCAACTTTACCTCCTCTTGCATTTGCGTACGTTTGCGTTTGTTTGCGTTCGCACTCCGCTCAGCGCTTGCACTCCGCGCTCCGACATCGCGCCGTTAGCTTGTAAGACCGCGTAGCGACGGCTACGACCTGCGCTAGAATTAAGGCCGCGTATTTTTTGTGACGGACCGGGTTCCGACCGTAGTTCCTAAGTCATGTACAGTAGATTTAAGATTGGCTCCACGCGTCTAACCACCAGATGATATTCTGCTTGTAGCTGCCGAGGCCGGAGAACACCGCCGTCCAGCCAGCCCGGCGGGGGTAACGCCGTGCTGTACAAGTTCCTGAATAAAATACTTCTATTTTTCTAGTAACACTGCCTCGTTATTTCTCGACCCTGTTCCCATGCGAACCCTGGCACGGGGAAACCGTCGCGGTGCGCAACGCCGTGCGCACCGAACCGACCGACCCCGTTACAAATTTATAATAGCTTTAGGAAAATCAAGACAGTAACGGTGAATTATTATTGAAAAATAATGAAAAATAAAAACAATATATGATAAATTAGTACGTATTTCTTTATTTATTATTCCCTTTGTTGCGAATCTCCGGCGAATAATCGCGACGAGGAATTCGTACGAGTGCGAGTGAGGAAGCAAGATGACAAAACCAATGCTGCTCCGTGCGACAAAACATAGTCCGTCTCGCAAAGCCATCGGTATCGCCATCTTGCTTTCTCACTCGCACTCGTACGCATTACGCCGTCCGCGTGATCAGCTGTCGCCGGCGAGCATCGGCCGCCGATTCTTTGTTTTCTATTTATAGACGCGTTTAAAATTAGTATAAAACTGTTGCATCCTCACTCCCTCCGATTCACCTTCTTGAAATTAATAATGTCTTGTAGTTTTCGTTCCTATAAGTTTAATGGTCGCGTATGTTATGTGTATTATTTCGTTCTTGCTACCTCTCTTTCATTCGCGCTGTCCTTTTGTATGTCCGGCAGGAATCAAAATCTTGTCAGTAA